TACAGTGTGGAAGCAGGCCATTCAGCCCATTGAGTCCACACCGATCCTCTAAAGTGCATCCCACTCAGACCAACCTCCCTACCCAATCCGGATAACCCTACACTTCCCCTGGACACAGTGGGCAATTTAGCATGGCCAATCCACCTAACCTGCATGTCTTTGGACTGTGGGAGGAAACCGGAGCTCTGAGAGGAAACCCTTGCAGACATGTGGAGAACGCTCAAACTCCTCACAGACAGTCGCCCAAGGGTGGAATCGAACCCAGATCCCTGGCACTGTGAGGCAGTAGTGCTATCCACTGAGCCATGGTGCTGCCCTATTTTTAATATGGACCTCCACAGTTTATTTGAAAAGGAATGGAATAAAGGAATTACACCACTTCCAAAAAATGACTTTGTATCTAAAGAGTTAGAATTCCACTAGGTTATGCAGCATGATGGCTTATTCTAAAACAGTTTAATCCCATTAGATGTTATTGTTGTACCTTACTGAAGTTTATACTGAATTTAAATGAATTGCTAAAATTTATAAAGTTAGTTTAAATGAGGTCTCACAGTAATCACCAATGAACCAATAGGGAACAATTACGTACATGTAGAAAAGGAGAAAATCAACTTTATGAGAATCTATTCTTTCACTTGTTAATTATTTGTCAGCCTCACAAACTTGTAAAGCAAAACATACTAATTCAAGAACTGATGCATTCCTGCTGTTATTTGACCATTTCTATTTTACACAAAAGGGCATTTATTAAAAGGTCTATCGTACACTTACCTCTTTGAGGTGCACAGCAAAGAGTCCATCTGTCTGTTTGCTAACAGACACACTGGTGATGTCATTCACTGGAATGGTGGATTTGATCTGGCCTGATTTTTGATCAGCCAAGATGAAGTTACTTTGGGTTAATAGGAAGATTCTTGGAGCTCCCTACATCAAATAAGATCAACAATCATTAGCTGGAACGAGTCATTATTTCTTCAGCCAGAGGGTGCTGAATCTGTGGAACTCATTGCCACAGAAAGCTGTAGAGGCAAAGTCACTGAGAGCACTCAAGTCAGAGTTTGATAGATTCTTTATTAGTAAGGGGATCAAAGGTCATGGGGAAAAGGCAGGAGAATGGGGTTGAGAAACATAGCAGTCCTGATCAAATGGTGGAGCAGATGCAATGGGCCGACTGGCCTAATTCTGCTCTGATGTCTTATGGTCTATTTCATTTGAGTCTCTTTTCAAGCTTACCATGGTTTTTAAGTTAAGTTTACTGCAGACTTTACAGCCACTTACAACCAGCTATATTAGCTGTTCTTGCTGAAGTTGTAATTTCTTTCAGGCATGTGTGCTCTTGAGTTTTTAACACAGATTATTTCCAAGTACTCTGATTTGCAGATTTCTAACAATCTTGCCCACTCAGCAGCATATCCATTACATTAAAGCTCTTTCAGTCAGTGCATGGTCAGCATGCAGTTTAGCTTCATAATTATAAATTGGAGATAGAATAATAGCCAATTATCTCAACTTGAGGCTCCAACCGGAAGGTACATCTTTTCCTTCCAATTAATATCTATCATATACAGTTGACAGTAACAAACAACAAACCAGTTGTTTAAAATATACAATGATTGACTGGGTCATAAAACATCTTTTCATCATTTGTTTCCCTCTTCATTCACCTCATTGGAAAGAGGTGATAGTTTTATGGGTCATGACACCCTTTGTGTGTCACACCAGGTGACCATTTTTAACAGCCAAATGTGAATAATACATATCACTGTTTTTCAACCACTGGGATTACATACATCCAAGTCCCTCTCCGTTTTCACTATAACCGCGGATCAATGTTCACTCATCAGGTGCAGGATCCTGAACTTTTCCCTCTTTTGTAAGCTGATACTGAAACCAATTGTGTTAACCTCAGCAAAGGCCCAAGTGAAATGTGTTAATTCACTCATTATAAGGTTGAATGTGGGACTCCATTACTCCATATCAATTCAAGTTTGAACCTCAAGCAGCGTTTACCTATTACATCAACAGACAGCCCATTTTCCTGCTTTAAGTTCTAATAAAGTGAAAAGAACATATTGCAGGGTTGCCTCAGAGCTGTAGGGTTTACATGTACTTCTACAACTCTTTAGGTAAGCTTATGTGGTACAGCAGAAACATCTGAGAATAAAACCATAATAAGACCATGAACCAAATTTCCTCTGACCTTGCCATTAGCTCGGTTAATTTTGTTTACAACATCCGCCAGCACAATTTTCTCTTCCACAGCACCATTCAGCTTCTGGTATTTGGGATTCTTACTGATTTCCAGATAATCACCTTGGAAAGGCTGCTGAACACTGGAGAGAAAGTTACAGCACAGAAATTATAAATAAATGACTCACTGGTCATTTTTTGTACGGATGTCATCACATTGTTTTATTTAAGAGAAATCCAAATACCTGATTAGCATTTCAAAGCCTGGTGCCTGAATTAAAGTGGAGGCATTGATCACAACCAACTGCGAGAAAAGTCGTGAAATGGAAACATTTTTTCATTAATGATATTTAAATTATTTTTACTTGTCTTCTAAAACATAAGGTAAGGGAGTAGATCTGATCATCCAATTCCACTATGAACAAATTAGACAGAACTTGTATTCTTTTACAATCATCTGGCTGTCTTCATTTAAAAAGAAGGTTCCATGTTTTGACTGCCAGGTACTTGTGTTCCCTCTGCCAAATGGCTATTTGTGATACATGAGCAAAAGCAATGGGTCTGATGCTCCATTTAATCACCCATCCTGTCCCATAACAGCTCTTTCTGCAGTCACACTTTTGCACTTTCAAATCAAGGTCACTGACAGGAACTTTGGCTAGCCCATCTGAGGTTACCTAACTCAGAACAGACGGAGTTGAACCTGGAACTGTCCCTGATCAGACTGTGTGTCAGTCAATATAGCATTGCAGGAATTAGCAGCTATTCTGTCTCGGTACAGATAAACGTACTTTTAGGAAGGTGAGAGTCCTGGCAGAAAATGCCATTCACAAGCCAAGGGGAATTCTTGGTTTAGTCCGTATGAGAATTGGCATAGAAGAAAGTGATGGGAAATAAATGCTAGTGCAGCCAGCGATGTCCACATCCCACAATCAAATAAAATTTTTATTATTAATTAGGCCAAAGTTAAAATCTTACATGGAGGTCTGGGCACTTTGAGGATTGATACACGGAATTAGGAGCTATAATTTTGTAGAAAGGACTTAAAAAAGCTTACTTTTAATTGAAGCAGCGAGTAATTGGAGATGTAATAAAGGTTTCATTTTGACATGAAGCAATGCAAGCCCGTTTCAAGGATTTGTGGAGCACTAGCAAGGGGCCAAAGAATCAGGACCATCAAAGTAATAAAGAAGTTATTTTTCACATCAAGGCCTTTTAGATGAAGAATGGATCATCCAGTTAATGAAGCATAAACTGTAACAGCATTAGAGAGAGATTTAGATAAATATTTGAAAGGAAGAAATTTCAAAAGATACGAGAAAAGAACAGTGAAATTGGATTCAAGTAATCAGCTCCCTTTATAAAACTAGCACCAGCTATAGGGCCATGGATGAATATCTTCTCTTGTTCTATAATTTCCAAGATGAACTTCAAGTGGACAAGATAGGCCACTGGAATTTAATGAAAGGAAGTGTGCAATGATATACTTTGATAAGCAGAACAAGGAGAAGCAATACACAATAAAAGGTCATTTCTAAAGCAAGTGCAGCAACAGAGTGACCTGTGCAAAAATTTCAAAGATTGTATGGCAAATTGGGGTAATAAAATTGGAGATCTCAGGCTTTATAAATGAAGGTACAGAGCAGGGACCTGGGTTTGATTCTAGCCTTGGCCAACTGTCTGTGTGGAGTTTGCACATTCGCCTCGTGTCTGCATGGGTTTCCTCCCACAGTCCAAAAGTGTACAGGTTAGGTGGATTGGCCATGCTAAATTGCCTGGTGTTCAGGAATGTGTAAGTTAGGTCAATTAACCGTGGGAAATGCAGGGTTACAGGGATTGAGTCTGGGTGGGATGCTCTTCAGAGAGTCAGTGTGCTCATGTTGTGCCGAATGGCCTGATTCCACACTGTAGGGATTCTACTGACAGCACAAAAGCAGGCAAGTTATGGTGAGCCTAAAACACTGGTACAGCATCAACTGGAGCACTGTTCAATTTTCGGCCCTACATTCTCGGAAGAGTATGAAGGGTTTGGAGAGAGCACAGCAAAGTTATCTGAGAACGGTTCAGGCATGAGCATCTTAGTTAAGTGGACAGACAGGACAGAAGGCTACCTTCAGAGCAAGGAGATAATTACAAGATTTGTTAGAGGCTCAAAATCATGAAGCATCTGGACGGAGTTGATAGGGAGGAAGTTTTAGCATTGGTGGAAGGATTAAGTACCATAGAACAATCAGCATAAATTGAAAGGCAAAAGAAACAAAGGGAACATGAGGAAAATCTTTTTTCACAGAACACATAGTTAAAATCTGAAATGCACTGACTGAACATTTGGTGGACATGGAGCCAATTGTCTCTCAACAGCAAATTAGATCCTTATCTGAAGAGAAAACATTTGCAGGCCTACAGGGGAATAAGACTGGCTAAATTACAGAGACAGCACAGACATTGTGTGCTGAATGGCCTCCCTTATATTCCATGATCATTGAATGGTTCTATGACATACCACAAATTACTCATACTGTATCCAAAAGATAGTTTTCTTAAAGAACTTTATCCCAATTGGATTTGAATGAATCGATAGCATTTGCTTCCTCCTTCTCCCCAGGAAGTCTTTATGCTCACTTCTGTTTTCCAGTCTATAAAAGCAGGACAAACTTGACTGTGATGAGCCACTCCCTGACACTCCGGACATAAAGACTTAAACAAGTTCTGTTTTCTTCTTGAAGGAAATAGTAATTCCTCAGCCAAAACAGTCAGGCCCTCTGATGGGGAGGAAAGTGCTACTCCAATATTCCTGGCTCCTGTGAACAGATGGCCAGGAAGTGTTGTAAATAACCCCTATACATAAATGGGATTAACACCAGGCTGGATGTGGAACAGGTCTCAAGAGAAACGTTACAGCCGAGAGGTCATACTTAAGCTTGCAAAGTCCAAATACTTTGGAAATCATCCCTGTTGCTTTTTGTTGTGAATGTGATTGAACAATCGTTTGTCAAATCATCAGAGCGTGAACAATGTGCCAAAGATGATGCTCTCTCAAAAAAAAATTGCCTTATGTTGCATTTCATATATGGTTCCTATTTCTGTGCAATCATTGTTAATTCATTTTTAACGCTATACAGAAGATATACCTGAAGAAGAAAGGCTAAAAAGTGTATAGGATTCTCTATGCATGATCATTACAGAAAGCTCATCATTACATTTTTAAAAGTGCACATATATATTTGCAAAAGAGATTTAATGGATTATGTTAGTCACACAACAGAAATAATGACTTCAGCAGCACATGGTGTTGAAATGTTTCACTTGATTGTTCATTGATGCCCCAAAAGAAATGATTATTTTTTTCAAATTTTAAAGCACTATGCTTATGAAGGACACTTCACAATGTATTTACCACTATGTCTGTTATTGCTAATTACCTGTTAGTATACAATGCCTTCTTATCCTTGAAAAGTTCACTCGCCTCGAGCTTCTCTTCAAAAATAGCTTTCTTTTGTTCTGTGAACTGATCCCTGTATTTCTTGCACTGCAAGCAGAGCATGACATTTTGTTACTTTTTATAAAATGTCCTTTTTCTTTTAGCAACATTAAGCCAACAGGAAGCGTCACACTTTAGGGTTAGACTGTAGATTGCCCAATAAAGCATGTGAATGTGTGTTATTTCAACCTTGGCTAATGGCTCTTATTGGAACACTTGTTATCATAAATAAAAGTAACTTTCATAACCTGAAATAGCCCTGATCTTTCAATGTTCTTTCAACTGCTCAAAAGTGACTAAGTCAAGGTTGTCTATTTGAAATACCTGACAAGTTTTTGCCATCCTTTTCATAATTTCTGATGGCTTTTTGCTAAACCTCTTACACGAAAATCATTATTTGGAACTTTCTAGAGGGATAGACAAATGCACCCAGTGCCAGAATGAGGGACATCTTTCAGACGATTATTCGAAATGAAGAGCTGAACTTTCTAGACTTTGAACATTTTCACTTTTCAGATCACCAACGAATTCAGGCCTCATTCACAGCAGCAGAAGGACTTCCCAAACAGCCTACTTGCGCTGGTCAATTAAGGACTTATTTTTGAGAACACTATTTAATTCAGAATAGGAGGCAGGTACTGCAGATTGGAGGCAGGCAGAGCATGGTTTGCAGCCATCATAGAGTCAGCAATGGCAGTACTGCCCAAGAGCAAGCAACAGGAATGTCAGCAACAATGTGGAGAGTCATTATCAGCAGAGCAGCTGACTCCTTACCAGCCCCAGCACAACGGAGACATAAGTCTCCAGGGGATTATCAAACTATGGCAAACTTTTGAGATGGGAATGTTTCAGCCTTGCCATTTGCTGTGGTCAGCACTAAAAATCCTTGAAATCGCACATAGGTCTGACCAGCTGAGAGTTGTTGGGATGCAAGACAGCTGGGGTCCCATGTGCCACAAGCAAAACTATCCGGTGTTGGGGGAAAGAAAAGATGAAACTTAACCCCTGAGCTACAAAAGTTGGTTTCCTGCCAACATTAGATCCATCCTGCCCATGGGAAGACAGTCTGACGCTCAATGGTAAATTGGCCAGATACAAGTTTTCCTAAATTTTCTTCCTTCCACATCTCACCCTCTCCAAACCTGTCTCCAAGGTTCTGGGAAAAGTGCTCCCAAAGAGTCAAAAAATGATAATGAGCATCAAAGGCAATTCTCAACCTGTGCTGAATAAACATCCACATACAAAAATTTACCAGAAGTCACAAACAAGCAATCAGGAGCTCTGAATACTACTTGACTCAGTTTCCCTGTCCCCTAATTAAAGGCTGCTCAAGGTTAATATGGTTTCTCATCTACCATTCTCTGGCTGGTGAAGTGAGTAAACTGCTCCCAGATGTTTGACCTACCACTTGAGAGAACTGCCTATCTTGAGAATTCATTTGAGAAGACGGTTCAGATCAGGATTTCACCATATTGCAAAGCTAGGAATAGAGTCCACAGAGTTTGTGGGTATGGTGAATGTGAAGAGAAAATGTTGACCAATGCACGTACATTTAATTTTTTATATCTGACAAAATCTTTTGTTTTTTACCCTCCATAGGTGGAAGATCCTCTTCAACTCAGTGTGAGTATCATCCAAGAAAAGATATGGTCGCGGAGGCCAGGTCTTCTCTGTTGGGGACATTGACGGCAGCTTCTTCTTCAGTTCCAAGAAGTACTTTTGCATCTGAGTTAAAATAAAGCAGTGCATTACCAATAATGCTGTATCAAAACATGAGGTCAATCAGATGGCTGATTGCCTTTAATTTAGGATAAAATGTTGAATGAAAGGAGTTATGATGTCTTTTGAATCTGTTGACAAGGCAGCTGAGTGGCTTAGCTGTTAAAGGTTAAAAAGTGGGGGCAGGGAGACGAAAGTTGTTTTATCAGGGAAAAGATGCAAGATATCCAATGTCTAGGTGGTAGCTAACAAATATCTACGTAGTATCTATCTAAACAATGACCAGGCTGAATGGTGGTTCGACTTCAAGTCCTAGGGAGGAGTTAGAAACTTCAGGTTTGTTACCAGCACTACAATACCTTGCCCCTCACAACAGCACTGGAACGAGAAATGGTAGATATATTTAATAGGCTGCAAAGGAGATACACTAGTGTTTCAGGACATAATACGTTTCATTAGACAAAGATCCAGATGAAATTGAATAATTCAATCTTCCACAACCTTGTGATTTGAAGAGCACTTAACATAGAAGGCAAAGCTGGCCATTCGACCCCTCAAGGCTGCTGCACCATTCAGTATGATCATAGTTGATACCTAATACCACCCTCCCCTCACGTCCCTTGATCCCTTTTAGCCATAAGAGCAGGTTGTCTGGCAACAGTCCCCGTGATCAGTAAGAGGAAGAGCGTCCAGCAGAGGATGACTGAGAGAGAGAGGCATCACTTTGGCGCATACATTAGAGCCTGGAAGCAGTCACCTGCACTGAAGAGTGGATTGTCATCGTCCTCGTATCAAGGGGTATGGGAATTAGAAGAACAAATATGCGGGGTGGGGGGGCTTGCAGAAGCAATATTGTTGTCATACTGTGGATTTTAATTTTGCTAACAGAGACTGGGGCTGCCATAGTGTTAAGAGTTTAGAAGGGGTGGAATTTGTTAAACATTTTCAGGAAAGCTTTCTCAAGCAGAATGTAGCAGGTCCTGCTTGGGAAGGGGTAAACTCGACCTACTGTTGGGAAATAGGGCAGGACAGGTGACTGTGGAGGAGCATTTTGGGACAAGTGACCTTAATTCTATTAATTATAAAATAATTATGTAGAAAGACAAAACTGGTCCACAGGTTGAAGTTCTAAATTAGGGCAAGGCAAATTTGGATGGAATTAGATGGGAGCTTGTAGGGGTTGATTGGAGTAGTGTGTTTGTACGTAAAGGGACCTCTGGCAAGTGGGAAGCCTTTAAAAGTATAATAGCTAGAGTTCCTGTGAAGGTGAAAGACAAGGTTGTCAGGAGTAGGGAACAAGAGATACTGAGGCTTTGACCAGAAAAAAAGGGAGGCATGGCTCAGGAACAGGCAGCTGGGATCAAGGGAATCCCTTGAGGTATATAGGGGATACAGAGTTTACTAGAGAAGGAAATCAGGAGGGCAAAAAGAGGACACAAGATAGCTTTGGCTGAGAAGATTGGGGTGAATCCAAAGAGATGCTTTAAGTATATTAAAGGAAAAAGAATAACTAGAGAGAGAATAGGACCCCTCAAGGACCAAAGTGGATATGTATCTGTGGAACAGCAGAAAAGAAGACTTGGAAATTCGAGGAAGTTAGTGGTGATATCTTGGGGACAGTCCATAACACAGTAGAGGTAGTGTTGGGCGCATTAGAATGTATGAAGGTGAATAAATCTCCTGGTCCTGACCAGATATATCCAAAAATCCTGAAAAAGTCTAGAGAAGAAATTGTGGAGGCCCTGGTTGAATGTTTGTATCATTAGTCACAGGCAATGTCCTGGAAGATTGAAGGGTAGCGAATGTCGTGCTCTTATTCAAAAAGGGCTGCAAAGAAAAACCTGGGAATAATAGACCAGTAAGCCCAACATCTGTGGTAGAGAAGTTTCTTGAGACAATTCTGAGGGATAAGATACACATGCATTTGGAAAGACAGGGTTTGATTAGGAGTAGTCATGGCTTTGTGCGTGGGAGATCATGCCTCACAAATTTGTTAGATTTCTTTGATGAAGTGACCAAGAAGGCTGATGAGGGCAGGGCGGTAGACATAGTCTGTATGGATTTCAGTAAGGCCTTTGATAACGGTCCACCTGGAAGGTTGCTTTGGAAGGTTAGATTGCATGGAATCCAGGAAGAGCTGGACAATTGGATACACAATTGGCTTGATCATAGTAAGAGGAGAGTAACAGTGGAAAGGTGCTTGTTGGACTGGACGCTGTGACTAGTGGCGTGCCTCAGGGATCAGTGCTGGGCCCATTGCTGTTTGTTATCTATATCAATGATTTGGATGAGAATATACAAGGCATGATTAGTAAGTTTGCGGATGACACTAAAATGGGCAGTATCATGGACAGTGAAGAAAGTTATCAGAAATTGTAGCAGGATCTTGATCAGCTGGGGAAGTGGGCCGAGAAATGGCAAGTGGAGTTTAATGTAGATAAGTGTGAGGTGTTGCATCTTGGAAAGTCAAAGCAAGGTAGGAGTTTTACGGTGAATGGTAGAGCCTTAAGAGGTGTAGTGGAACAGAGGGACCTTGGAGTTCAGGTACACAGTTCTCTGAAAGTGGAGTCACAGGTAGACAGGGCAGTGAAGAAGGCTTTTGGCACATTGGCCTTCAATCAGTGCATTGAGTATAGAAGTTGGGAAGTTATGTTGCAGTTGTATAGGATATTGTTGGGGCTGCATTTGGAGTATTGTGTTTAGTTTTGGTCACCTTGCAATATGAGGGATGTTGTTAAACTGGAAAGAGTGCAGATGAAATTTAAAAGGATGTTGTCAGGACTCAAGGGACTGAGTTATAGGGAGAGGTTGGACAAGCCAGGACTTTTTTCTTTCGAGCGTAGGAGGCTGAGGGGGGACCTTATAGGAGTGTGTAAGATCATGACAGGCAATGGATAGGGTGAATGCACTCGGTCTTTTCCCCAAGGTTGGGGCATCAAGAACTAGAGGGCATCAGTTTAAGGCAAGAGGGAAAAGAATACATGAGAATGTGAGGGGAAGAAGAGAGACAACTGGTTTTACACAGAGGGTGATATGCACATGGAATGAGCTGCCAGTGGTAGTGGTTGAGGTGGGTGCATTAACAATATTTAAAAGGCATTTGGACAAATACATGGATAGGCAAGGTTTAGAAGGATATGGGCCAAGTGCAGGGAAATGGGGTTAGTGTGGACGGACATTTTGGTCGGCATGAACTGGTTTGGGGTGAAGGGCCTGTCTCTGTGCTGTAGGACTCTATGAGCTTTCAGTTTTTATTTAGAGCTTATATCTACCTCCTTCTTGAAAACCCAATGTTTTGGCCTCAACTACTTTCTGTGGTAGTGAATTCAAGAGGTTCAGCACCTTCTGGGTGAAGAAATTTCTCTTCATCTCAGTCCCAAAATGTTTATGCTTTATCCTTCAGCACTTCAGTTACTTTGCCCTTCTTCTCCTCTCATAACACACCACCATGTTCCCTGGCCAACGTCTGTCTTGGGCTTGCTGCAGTGCTTCACTGAAATTCAGCGTAAGCTGGAAGACCAGAATCTGACTTTCCTGCAATGATCATAGAATCCCGACAGTGTGGAAACAGGCCCTTTGGCCCAACAAGTCCACACTGACCCTCAGAGCCTCCCACCCTGACCCATCCCTCTGTAACCCACCTAATCTACACCTCCCTGAACACTATGGGTAATTTAGCATGGCCAATCCACCTAGCCTGCACATCTTTAGACTGTGGGAGGAAACCGGAGCACCCAGAGGGGACCCACACAAACACAGGGAGAATGTGCAAACTCCACACAGACAGTCACCTGAGGGTGGAATCAAACCTGGGTCCCTGGCGCTGTGAGGCAGCAGTGCTAACCACTGAGCCACTGCAACTCCCCAAATCTTCAGGACTCAATATTAAGTTGAATAATTTTAGGGCCTGATCAGCTTCTTCCATGTCCTTAGCCCAACCCCCATCACAAGGGCTGCTACCACAACCAACCCATTGTCAGATACTAATGGTTCCCATTAGCAGCTATTGGTTCTCCAAAGCTGACCATTATCCATTCCTTTGTCTGTCCAACTGCTGTTCTCTCTCTCTCTCTCTCTCACTGTGCTTCATCTCTACCTATCATTTACTCCTCGTTCCCTCCCCAACTCCATCTTCAGCATATACACACCAACTTGTTCCTAGCTACAATCAGTTCTGAAGAAGGGTCACTGGACCCAAACCATTAACTCTAATTTCTCTCTCTCTCTGCTGCCAGACCTGCTAAGTTTCTCCAGCAATTTCTATTTTTGTTCCTTTGTCTTTTGCACTGGGCCTCTGCCTATGTCAAAAGTATATGAAAAAAAACAATTTCCAACAGCTTCAGTTCCTAAGTCACACTGGACTTGAAATGTTAACTCTGCTTCTCTTTCCAAAAATACTGCCAGACAGGCTGAGCTTCTCCAGCATCGTGTGTTTGTCAGTGACAATACAGAAGTCTCAGTTGACATTTTAAACTGAAGAACTGGTTTAGAGTTCAATCATAACACTCTCTCTTTGAGGTCATCAATCTAACCAGGCAGACATAGACAGTGGTATACATAGATGATGAATACCTGTCTGGTTTCAAAAGTAGTAATCTTCTCACCTGGAATTCTGTTTAAATACATTAACAACAGCTTTTTGTGGTATGTTTGTGCTTGTAGATATCCCTGAGCTAGCGTGTGCTTATCTGTTAGGTCCATATATTTACCATTACTTAATCCAATTGTTTTTCTTTAATCCAATTGTTAGATTAGATTTAACCTCTAAGTGAAAATATCAGCAACATTTCACTCCACAGTTGTTCATTGTCTATAAAAGATATAGATCATTGCATGTATTTGTAAAATATTTACCACATACTGGAAGTATGATTTATTTTAATTCCAAACTGCATAATTACTAGAGAAGTGAATTTCAATCAACTTACAATTCTTTGAATGGTAAATTCATAGATCTTCTTGCCTGCATTTGCACGGAAGAATTTTCTGTATTCCCTGCGAACCTGAAGAAAAACAGCACATAAGCAGACAGGTCTTTAACATAGTATTCTTCAAAAATCTTTTCTGATAATTACCATCACAGTTGTGTCATAGAAAACAGTTTCTAAATAGAATCTACAATTGTCAGAAACAGTTAAGAACTTACATTCAGAAATCATAATATTCAGAAACATCAAATGCAAATTAATTTAACACAGAGAATACAATGAAGACACAAAGAAACAGTGTAAATCAATGAAACCAGTAAACAAAACCTTTGATGAACAAAAGCATGCACAGAATCTGCAAATGGAAATGTGAGCAATGGATTAGGAATTAACAGTAGGTTAGTGGTACTAGATTTCAAAATCATTTGATAAATAATGAGTTCCCAATCAAATAGCTTTTCTCAAAGCTGTTGAAGGGATTGTTATTCTGTCTTTGGTAACATCAATTTAAGAGCTTTTAAGCAACATTTGCTTAAAATCAGGATCATTTGAAAACCATCCATAAAGACAGAGATAAAGATCACAGAAAATGTTAACTGTTTCTCTGTATTTGTGTTTTTAAATCAGATTTTTGTGTCCACAGTATTCTGCTTTTCCCACTGAAGTTCTTCAAATAGAAGTGTCTCCTTAAAGAGTGATCTAATAGCGTAGGTACATCATATGACAGGGCATCGGTCTCTCAGTTGTTGAAATAAAAATCAAGGAGATTACCTAGTGTGGCAGGGTCTTTCTCATGTTTTCTTATGAAAAGGGGCTCTGGGAAATTCCTACTCTATCAGACTGAGGAAAGCCTTATATACGTTTGGAGGGATTTTCAGAGAGATGCAGACATCTGTTCAGGTCTGTTATTATTGGTTGGGGCAGGGCAGGGCAGGATTGATTCCTTCTTCACTGTCAACATTTTCCTGAGGGCTGTGAAGGATAGACCTTGCTTAGGGTTAGCTAGGAAGCCTTCAACATATGCACAGCCATGCAAGCTTCAAACAAGACTTTTTGCAATTAAATGCAAATATAAACCAAACCTTGTCCTGCACTCTTGTTTTACAATTAAATGTTACAAGCCTATTGTTCCCTCACTTATAAGTCACATTGTTAAAATTATGTTGCTTCACAATAAATTTCCTTGAGAAGCTTGTTCCATTGTATTCCTGCGGATTTTGTGATTGTGAAACATTATCAATTCCCTATAAACTAGCAATTTATCATTTATCACCTGTTATACACACAAAACAGCAGATAGATTGAAACTGCATGCACCGTGCCCTCAACCATTACTTGTAAGAATACCTTAAATAAATGAAGCTCAAATTCTGAGAAGAGTTTAAAAAAAAAATCAACACATTCAGTTGTCTAACCTTCCTGTGAATTGTACCTCTTCCCAATGATGGATCTAATTGCTCCCCACAATGCCCACCCAATGCCTCACTGAAGGATCACTCAGGAATTTTGCAACACACTGAAGAACAATGTAAAGGGACTTGGATCGGAGCCACGACTCTCACACTCTGAGCCCCACTTTTGAAGGACGTCATTGTGATTAGTTACACAACAGGAACTGCAAGGAAACAATCAAGTATGATTCCACTCACTGGATTTTAACTTTGCTTGTTTTAGAGAGGCTGAAGTTACTTCCAAATGCCCTGGCTTGCCCTTTGATTTTGCTGGAGAGCAAAAACACAAGGCAGCTAGCACTAAATTGGCATGGTCAGCATCTATATCTGGCCAAGACCATTAATGGAGGCCAAAGGAGCACCTGTAACAGCATGCACGCCAAAGGCCATAGGTGAAGGGAGGACAAGCCACTGAAATCTCTGGGTCATATTATGTACTAATCCAACGGATTTTAAAAATTAACCTTACAAGGAAAGCCTGAACATGTACACATTACGTTAATTCTCACCCAATATTTAAAAGCTTGCCACAGAGCCTTTCAAATCAGCAGCACAGGCGATTGTGTTGTAAATATTTATAAAGGATATTACTTGCAGCTCTGGTGTTCCAAAAGTCACAAAGATCAAAGTGGCAGAAGTTTTGCTAAAGTGGCAGTATTCTTTCGAGCGCAAAAACATCTCGAGCCAATGTCATAACTTATATCTACACACCAAATTCTCTCATGCTTCCTAGATGATAGGTACATGGACAGTGTTTAGTTTTATTAATGATTGAAAGAGCCACCATTCAATTAGTTAAGTTTCTGATCTCTATATATGACAAGACAATCATAAATCATTGGTGAACGCTTCTCAAATGCAGCAAAAGTTTTTCAAATAAAACGTTTGTTACAAGTGCGGACAAAACAATGTCAATATTTTTATTCGTTAATTCTTTTGGTTAATGGATATCCAGTTCTAGGACCAAGTGGAAATGGTCTAAAGGTTAGAATAATTATGGAGCAATCAGGGTTAGTGGTTATTGCAGTTTCCATTTGGATGAATTTTAGAGAGAGGTTGAATGGGGAAGTACCTTGAGTCCAAGCCAGTAAGCCCAAATGACAGCAACCGCATGTTTACGCCTGGCTTCTTCCTTCAGGCGTTTCAATTCTCTCCGCGCCTAGAAGGTCGTACATAGTGAGTGAAGAAACAGATCGGTAGATATGAGAAACAGACAGGTAAACAGAGAAGCAAATCCCCAAACGCATGGAAAGAATGTGTATCAAAATTTGGAAAACAGTCCACACAATCAGATACGAATGTTAATATTTAAATCACATCACTTCTTTCTAAACAGCAAACTAACCATTAAGATATTTCAGGAAACCTAAAATATGTCACCTAAACTTCTACAGTATCTTGCTGTAGAATAATCAAAGTGTCTGTCTTCTGGTTAGAAATAATTACACTGTTGGACTTTAAATGCTGGAGCTATAGTTTAAGCAGCCCTCCATGTGGCTGGTGAACCAATACCTTACCTTAAATGTACGTGTGCATAATAACTAGTTTCTAGCAGTTTATAAACAACAA